CGCTGCCCGGACACCTCTGAGCCATGAAGCACCTTCGCCGAGCGCGTGCCCTTGGTAAGGCCTTATGGGGGGGTATGCAGGATGGCTTCAGAAAGCACAGTCATATACAGTTGACTAAAGACCTGAATGACTAAAAAACTGATGTATATTATTTTTTCTACATTTATTTATTTATGATTGGTGTAAGAAGCATGTCCATGACAACAGACAATAAAGTGTTATTAGATCTTATTTTCTGTATTTATGTATTAATCAATGCATTCATTTGTATGTCATGTTTATGTTTTGCTCTTAGACTGACTTGAGCAATTTTAATCTGTATATGTAGAATAATAAAAAAAAAACACTAAAACACACTCATCATCTAAAGCAGGATGCCCCCTTTTTTCTTTTTCTTTCTAGAAATAGGAGTCTACAGCTCAGTTTAGATTCAGTTTAGTGCCTTTGCTTTGGCCCCTTTCTGTTTTTCTGTTTTCTCCGCATGAGGAAAAGGGACGAGGAACAGATCCAAAGAAAGTGCGCCTGTCTCTCATTAACTTTCCCCTCCAAAAGAGAGAGAGAGAGAGAGACAGAGTGTATGAAAGCATGAATGCCCCCCCCAAACCTGTCCGAAGAGGACGCTTTAATTAGAATTTCATTCGGCCTAAACGGGGGGAAAGCGATGTAGTTAACATTTGGTGGACTTAATTGGGACCTTTTCTTCCTTGCCTCTTGAAAAAAAGCCCTGTTAATCTTCCATTTAGCATCAATGGAGTTGGCCAAACAAAAGTCCAGCTCTGCTTTGTGTCCATCCCGGGCCGGGCTCGTCCCCTAATGAGTCCCACCGCCAATTAACATGTTTCTGCAGCAGAGCCCGTTGCTCAGAGGGGCTGAGAGAGGAGCGCAGAGAAAAGGGCAACGGGTGATAGACTAAGAGAATGAACGGATTTGTGAATGGTTGACAGAATGAACAGATGAGAGAAAGAATGGGAAAGAGGAAGACAGAAGGAATGGCTGGGAATGAACGGATGAAAGGAGGAATGGGTGAGAGAGTGAGAATAAACAGTGAAGAAATGGTATAAGTGGTGGAAGAGGGAGAAAATGGATGAGTAAAAGTGAATGGGTGAAAGATGGAGAGAGTATGAGTGAAAGTGGGTGAGAGAGGGAGAGAATGAATGGATGAAAGAGTAAATGGGTGAGAGAGGGAGAAAATTAACCAGTGAATAGCTGAGAGAGGGAGTGAATTAAGGGGTGAAAGAGCGAATGGGTGAGAGATGGAGAGAATGAACAAGCAAAAGAGGTAACAGGAGAAAATGGATGAGCGAAAAAGTGAATGGGTGAGAGATGGAGAGAGTAGATGAGTGAATGGATGGGTGTGAGGGAGAGAATGGGTGAAAGAGTAAGTGGGTGAGAGATGGAGAGAATAGATGAGTGAAAAAGTAAATGGATGAGGGACAGAATGAGCAAGTGAGAGGCAACAGGTGAATGAGTGAGAGGGAGAACATGTATGGGTGAGAGATGGAGAGAATGAACAAGTGAGAGAGGTAACGGGTGAATGAGTGAGAGGGAGAAAATGAATGGGTGAATGGCTGAGCGGGAGAAAGTGAACCGATGAATGGGTAAATGGGTGAGAGAGGGAGAGAATGAAGAGTTGAAAGAGTAAACGGATAGTAGAGATGTGAGTAAATAAAAGATAGTAGAGAGTGAATAAAGAAAAGAATGAACAGGTGAGGGAGAGATTGAATAAGTGTAAAAATGAATAGGTGAGAGAGTTAATGAATGAATGGATAAAAGGGTTATTTTATTCTTCTTTTTTAGATGATATATATATCTATCATCTAAAAAAGAAGAATAAAATAACCCTTTTATCTATTCATTCATTCATTCATTCATTCACTCATATATATATATATATATATATATATCAAACATAACTTTCAAATAAATGTAAAATGTGCTTTCATTTCATTTAAAATCTGTTTGCTGAAAGTCTTGAGTTGTATGTGATCCGTGTGCTAACGGTGACCCCTCTCTCTCTTCCTATCTCTCTCTCTTACACACACACACACACACACACATCTGATGGCAAGACAAAATTTGAATTTTTTTATATCACGCATTTCCTATCTCTCTGTAAACCCGTCCCACCGCTCTGTCCAGACTCGCTGATTTCAAATTCTCTTTTAACGATTCTGAATGTCTTAAACTGTTAAACTGTGCATGATCAGTTTTCTAATGACGAGCTCTCAATCCATCACCCGGCTGATGGAGTCTCTCTTTGCATAAACATGACTTAAATGAAGGGTCGGTTTAATAAGCGCCCATTTGACTTGGCGGGGGAGGGCGGGGCTGTGAAGGGTAATGTCAGTGTTTAGACAGCTCAGTTCTGCAATATCACACACGTTTGTACTGGAATTTGGTCCTCCTTCTTTTCGCGGCTCATAGTCGTTCATTTCTACATAAGTAGGATGTTTTTGCTGTCTAGGAATAAAGTATGTTGCCCAAAAATTAGTTACACTATAACCTACTTCGTAAAAGATGAGAACTGAGTGCTGCATTACTGCATTGTCGTTCAACATGTCTGTTGAAATATAATATAATTTTTATGCTCATGTATGTATTTTATTGTATTGTCCAGACGCAACAGATGATCAGCGAGGGAACCTATTGGTGAGGGGAAAAAAGAATTGTGCTACATCTTTATGTCACAAACAGGATAATTGATAATTACAATTTAGTAATTTACGTACAGCCCCCCACCTTCCCCCCAGCGTTTAATTAACACCGTCAGTGTTTATATAAGTCCAGTTGGACAAAAATGGACCCTCAGTATCATTCCAGAGATTTTGCTCTACGACCAGAAATCAGTAACGTATCTGATCTGAAGCCTTTCTATGTAGTACAACTTAACTATAAAATTGTGAAAAGACACATTTATGAACCCAACATCAGGCGACGTAAATTACGTATTTTTGATTACACGTCATTTTCATACTTTTATTCACAAATAAATTGGATTTTTGTTCTGTTAAAAATCAGCACTGCTGTGACCAGAAGACTAAATATAGATTGATTAATTAGATATTCGCTTTTAAGCCGTATAGTTTGATCCATTTGAAAATTTTCAGGCATAAATGTAACATGAGAACTAAAGGAAATTCATAAATTCATATTCACATTAATGGGTTACAATCCTAACTTGACGGAGAATTCCACTGATTTTTTTCTACATTATTAAACCATTAAGTTATAAACGGTCTGTAAAAAAAAGATGTAAATGTCTGATGTGAAATTCTCCGTTTTAGAGAAACCGACTCAAATTCGTTCACAGTGGTTTTGATAGGAACCAGACGTCTGAAGGGTTTAATGCCTCTAAAAGCTCTCTCACTGAAAGTTGCTACATGAAATGCTTATGAATACACTGTCTGTTGTCTGAGACACTGTTCTACGGTAGTTTTGAGAGACACGCATGGTCTATTACAAAATTTTAAATACGGTCATGGCGGAGAGGTACACGCGGGGGGTGGTAAGAACAAAATAGCTCCCGAAGAAAACTTATGTTTCCAGATTTTCTACTGTTTGGGCATCATAAACATCGCTAGAAGACACATGGCGGTTCATTGGTCGTTTGGATAGTGGCCTAAATAAAACGTTAATGTTGTAGACATCACGGCTTGTGGTTGAGTCAGTAAGTTTCTCTATAAATGAACCATTTCAGATCAAACCACTCTGAATGACTGTTTACATCTCAACGATTTTTTTATGCAGAAATTTTGAAAATGCGGTGGAATTCCCCTTTATAGTCCCCAAACTCGAGGGTGTGAAGAGTTTAGCGCGCAGAAGTAAAACACGCTCCGTCTGTCCAAACACAGCTCCACAATCTCATCCATCTTTCTGTCTTACTTTCTTTTCGTTTATTTTTTTTTATATTAGTCCTCCTCGCTCTAATCGTGGCGCGGGGATTGGGGCTCACGCGCCTTCATTTCGGCAGAACGAGCTTCCCGGAGCCGCGCTCGGAATGGATTAGTGTTTATTAAAGCTGGAGACGGTGAGGAAAGGCGCAGTCCGAGCTCCTTATTAGCGCGACGGGATGCACGGTAGCTAACCACCCCACACACACACTCCCCAACACACACACACCCACTCCCAGCATACACACACATCCACCCCTGGGGCTCTTTAGCTGATTAGCGCGCGGGGGCTTGGAGAGGCCACCGGTTTCTGGCTCATCGTTTCTTCATAAAAAATAAAAATTATTTCGAGTCGAGTGTTTTGCGGCCGCGAGAGTGGAAAACGCGCTCTTTGCGCTTCACTTAAGCTGCGCCATTACGGGGTTAACGACGTCTGTTCCGGCGGGCCCCGAGCGCAGCGCAGTAATGACTTTTCTCTCCGCCGCTTTGATAGAATTAGCGGGAGAGAGCCGCGAGCACGTAGCTCAAATAAACGCGCGTGGAAATCTCGGCGAACGCGGCGGAGTAGATTGTGAAAATGACTGCCTGCATCTCCAACCTGAGTTAGCCTCATTAATGCACCTGCGCAGCTTTGCTCAGCAGATTAGCACAAGATATATATGACCAGGCTGCGCCAAACGAGATCACTCTTAAAGACGAGTGCAAAATGTTCAATACCAGTTCACGATCATTTACGATTACAGAAATACTGGTCAGAGAGTTTCGGAAACAAATGGGTTCTGACTGAATTTAAGATCTTGGAGAGTCTCAAAACTGGGTTCATAGTTTGTTTATTTTCAACAATTTCGTTTTGTTTTTTTTTATAATCGTTCCAGTAGGAATCACATTACAAAGTTCAGGACCGATATGCTAAAACATTTCACGAGACCTTATTCCAGGCTAACATGTATAAAAAATAGATGCTTTTCAGGTAAAAACTTTTTTAAATAATATTTTATTCGGATTTATGTACAGTGTCACTGTGCAGTGAGTCAGTCCAGCTCCGGTCGTTTCGATCAGAGAGATTGTTTTTAGTCCTTTACAGCAGAAACCTGAAGTTGCATCACTCGCTCAGGTCCGGGCTGCCCCGGAGGGCTCGTGGGCCACCGGAGCCGCGCAGGCGCCGCTCTCGTGCAGCTTGCGCACGTGCTTCTTGAGGTCGAAGTTGCGGCAGAAGCCTTTGCCGCAGGTGGCGCAGGTGAAGGGCTTCTTGTCATTGTGCGTGTGCATGTGGAAAGTGAGGTTGTAGATCTGGTGGAAGGCTTTACTGCAGATTGAGCATTTGAACTGCTTCTCGCCGCTGTGCGTCAGCTTGTGATTCTTGTAGTTCCCTATGACAGAGAAAAACGGCGAGAAAAAGTGAATAATAATAATAATAATAATAATAATAATAATAATAATAATAATAATAATTGTTATAAGTACAAAAAGGACAAAGGGGCTTCAACACTACGTTCTTGAACCCACAATAAATAAATAAAAAAACCTAACAAATACAGTTATGTGCTTGGACCCCTAATGATAATTATAATCGCCATTATGTTTCAGCGTTAGAGAGGCTCCTTCACTCTCTTTCTCCGTAAAGGTCAGTAGTTGACAATTAAGTTAGATTTAAGAAAAAAGGAGGTTTCATCTCCGAGCAGGCTGAAGTCAAAGAGTTGTCAAACTTTATCAAACTCAGCCTCCCCAACAGCCCCAAACTGTCGGATTATGAGAGAGAGAGAGAGAGAGAGAGAGAGAGGGTGAAAAGAAGGAGAGAGAGAGAAAGAAGGAAGAGAGAGAGAAAAAAGAAGGAGAGAGAGAGAGAGAGAGAGAGAGAGAGAGAGAGAGAGAGAGAGAGAAGAGAGGGGGTGCGCACTGACCCGTGGGCAAATGTGGAAATCTTTTAGGGATAGTTAGTTAGTGCAAAGTGACAATCCATATTTGCGCTGATGTTTGGAAGCTCGCGCCCACTCGCAGTCTGATTAAGCAGAAGTGAGAGCCCCCCAGAGTTACAAACCTAACACAAACAATTCCCATATTCTCATATTTTATCTTATTTTTATTTTTTAAGTTTATTTGAATTCGATTCGTGTATTCATTATTATTATTATTATTATTATTATTATTATTTTGCAAACCGAGCTGTAAGCAGTAAAGTGAGCGGACTGCTCTGTAAACTCACCTTTTTGGTGAAACCCTTTTCCGCAGAATTCACAGACGAACGGTTTGTATCCGGCGTGTATCCGCACGTGTGTGTTTAGCGTGGAGCTCCTGTTGAAAGCTTTCCCGCACTGGTTACATTTATGAGGCTTTTCCTGTGGAAAGATTTATTAGGGATTATTTGATACAAATATAATAAGCGCGATATTCTTCAAAAATACATTTGAAAAACTTTAATGTTTTATTAAGGCAAATAGAGCAGAACCCCGTTTTAAATATTTTATTATCATGAAATAAAGCGCCGCTCGATTCGCTCGAGCGACTGCAAATACATATAAACAGCTCGCTCATGAAAGGACTCTGATGGAGTGCGAGCTGCTACTCACTTGTGTGTGGATGATTTTGTGTCTGCACAGCGTGCTCGCCTGGCGGAAACCTTTCCCACACACTTTACACACGAACGGTCTGGCGCCCGTGTGCACCGGCATGTGGCGGGTCAGGTTATAGTGCGCGTTAAACACCTGCGGAACAGCACGAGCTGAGTTAGAGAGGAGTGAACACTGATTATGTGCAACAACAACAACATGAAAAAAACACCGAGGTACAGAAAAACACGCAATGCTGAAAATGTTACAAAAGCAGAGCCATTAAAAATATGAATTAATAAAATGCATTGCAAAAATTGTAGAATAATTTAGTAATTTTAGTTTTGTTTTTAGTTTTTAATTTAGTAATAATTTACTTAATATTCATGAATTGTGCAAAAAAAATAATGTGCATTGCATTTATAAAAATGTGTATTTATTTTAGTAAAAAAAGCAAAACAGCTGTATTGATTTAGCAAAGAAATAAAATGATTTGATGTAATAGGAAAAAAGTATTAATACTAAAATTGTATTAATTTAGTAGAAATCTCTGTTGATCATTGGTTTAGTACAAATGAATTAATATAGTAAACATGCATTATTTTAATAACAATTGCCACTTAAAGAAACTAATTTTTTGCCTATTTTTATTTTTTAAATTTATTTTGATGAAACGCTGACAGCCTCGTGTCCAGCTCCGTCTAACCCCCCAAAACTACAAACTTTTAAACATTTTAAACACGATTCCCACTAAAAATCCCTCAAACGTTCCACATTCCCCTAAAACTTCCCACGCGCCCTTTAAAACTCTCCACAAACTCCCAAAGAAACTCGCTTACCTTCCCGCACACTTCGCACGTGAAGCTCTTCGGCTTTCCGTCTGCTGCGCAGCTATTGGCTTTGCCGTTCGCGTGCGCCTTCACCGCTCCGCTCCTGTCCGCCGCCGCGGCCGCCGCGCTGTGGTTCTCCTTTACCACGTGGTCGAGCTGCCCGGGCAGCCTCTCCTTGTGCGGGTGCTGCGGTGTAGGCAGCCTGTCGAGCTTGGCGCTCTCGAGCAGCAGCAGCGTGTGCTGCGCTCCTGCGGCCGCGTGAGAGTGCGCGCGCGCGTGCGGCCCTACCGCCGCCGCTGCCGCCGCAGAGGAAGAAAACAAGCGTCCATTCAGCAGCTCGCTCGGGTGGCACGGGGAGTCCAAGCAGCCGAAGTAGTAGAGCGGCGCGGCAGCAGCGGCGGCGGCCACGGCCCGGTGAATCACCTGCGGCTTGATTACGCGGCTCCGAGGCGCCGCATCTGCGCCACTTCCCCCGCCGCAGACGCCGCAGAAGGCGGCCCGACACGCGGCCGCCGACGCGCAGAGCGCTGCCCCTCTGAACCCGGCTCTCCACAGTTCGGCGTAGTTCATGAGCGCGGCGGCCTGGTGGAGGTCGTAGGTGAAAGGCGGCTGCGCCGGGAGCGCGCGAGGGCCCTGCGCGCCACCGCTCCCTCCGCTGCCACTTCCTCCTCTAGGTCCCGACGGTTTGATGGACATGATCCGGTCAATGGAGAAGGCCAGCGGTTTGGGACTCGCGCCGCCACCGCCGACGCCGCTGCTGCCGCCGTCCAGTCGCGCGCAGGACGTGGCCGTCGTCTCCAGAGGCAAAGAGCTCGCCATGGCCACCGGACTCCAGCCGGGCCCTTCTCTCCTCCTCCACCTCCTCTTTCTCCTCCTCCTCCTGCTCCTCTTCTCCTCCTTCCTCCTCCCGCTGCTGCTCGCGCTGCTCCTGCTGCTGTCGCTGTCTCTGTCGCTGCTCTCCGTGGCCGAGTGTCCCGGGACGCGCATCAGTTTAATACGCGCGCGCTCCCTCCACTGTCCCAGCCGCAGCCGCTGCCTTCTCCCATTTGCATTCAAAAGGCGTCCGGGGGAGGCAGATTAATGCTCATTAAGCAGCGCGCGCTGGAAATTAACAGCACATTACAGAGCTCGTTAAGCAGAGAAGAAGAACGCGCACCGAATCAAACCACTTCGCTAAAGTGATGCAGTCAAATCTGCGCATGAGTCAAATCTATTACACCAACACACTCCTAACTTTGCCCATAACTGCTTTGATGTAATGTGGAAATCAATGATGAGTGAATCTAACAAATACAGCGCATTTACTCTGTTTTCAGTGCTGCAGTTTTACCTTGTGGATTTCCCTCCCAAAGCAGGAGCACCATGTGTTCATGAATGACTGCGCAGCTCTGCACTTCTGTCACATTATCCAGGCATGCTTCTCCTCCTCCTCGTGATCCTCTTCTCGTACTCCTCCTCCTCCTGTTCCTCCTCAGCAGCGCGCGCTCTGATCTCTGACAGTGAGCTCGTTGAGCTGAGGGTGTCTGCGCTCTTCCTCTCCGCTTATACCGCCCATTTATACGCGGCCACGGGGGTGGACATGCATCACACATATTACACATATTACACTTTATTAGAGAGGCTGCTTGCCCCCAAATCTCGCGGCCCTGACCGACAGCACGCGCTCACGCTTCATGTTTAATAACGTAAGTGCACAAACTAATATGAACTAACACACACACACACATGTATGTATATATATATATATATATATATATATATATATATATATATATATACACACACACATATGATTTCGTGCAAAGCATTATATAAATTTAATATACGCTACATTTATGTACCTTTTTTGCTGTATTGCGTGCCTTTATTCGTTTTGTTCACATTTGAATTAGGATTTAAACTGAAACGATTATTTTGAATGAACGAAATAAATTCCAGCTTAATTATTTAATTGGCCTTGGATTTGGAAAATAACCGAATTATGTATGAACTGGATTTTGTCGTTTTTTTCTTTTCCTTTTTTTTACTCTTCCCACGTCAGGAGAGCCTTTTTTCCCTCTATTTCCCCTCGTTTCGTTTCAGATTTACTGAGCCTGGTGGAGGCTGAGGTGAACAATGAGGATTTGGGGATCTCTTCCACTAGTTTCAGTTTTCATTGCCCGTCTCTAATCCTTGTCGTTTTAAAACGGCGTTTCCACGCTGCTCGCTGCTTACGCTGTTTGGATAATGGAGAAGGTCCCGTTTCCACCTGTTTTAAAGAGCAGATTGAGAGAGCAGAGCCTCCCTCGGATCCTATTAAACGTTTTTCCTCCTCCACCTATTCACACCAACCTATTTTTTTCCTTCTTCTTCTCCAGCGCGATTCAGAGCTCAGGCTTCGGAGGAGGAAAAAAAGCAGCTCTTTCACTTTTAGCCACTAAAGCGCTGCGTGGAACCTGGTTTTGTGTTTTTCTGGAATAAAGGGCCGGATTAAAGGAGGGAAGAAAAGCCTTCGCCTGGCCAGAGGTGCAGCAGCGAATGAAAAGAGCCTCTCTAAAAGTTTGCTGGAATCCAGAGTTTTGCGGCGCTTTGCTACAATGACCAGTCGGACCTCTCGGCTTTCTGCACAGGGCCCTGCTTGAGCTCATTTGTTTGCAGACGATTTCACCTGAGACTCACAACAAATTATTACCCCCCCAAAAAAGTTCAAAAAGATCTTTACCAGTTCAGAACCACCGCGCTTTTCCAGGCTGATTGTCTTTATTGGGTCTGAAAAGTTGCTCATCCGGCGTCTTGGATTAAACGCGTTCTCGTTTTATGTAAAATATCAATTTTAAAAAATCGATTTCGTAAGTCAGTCCGCTGCGTTTATGACTGGGTGTATTGTACGCATCTCAGTCTTTAAGTATGAATTAAATGAGACTCATTTCTGAACTCTGAAAACTGCTTTATTTATAATCCGAATAAAAAACAAGTAAGCAAATTAGGTATATAAATAAATAATCAAGTTAACCGCAGAGCAGTATGTCATCGGTACCAGCTTGTTTTCGAATGAGTAAGCAAGTAAATAAATAAGTAAATAAATAAATAAAAATGTAGACTATGTGTCCTCCGTATTTCCACCAAGTAAAAATGAACTGAACGAATAAAGTTCAAAGCAGATTAAATATTTAATTTATTGTTTAAAAAGGCATAGTAATGTACCCTTTCCATCGTGTTTCTAAAATCAGATAGATAGATAGATAGATAGATAGATAGATAGACAGATTTGTAGAAGGCGGTCCTATGTGTCATTAAACATGTCCCTCATTGTTTCTAATGAATGAATGAGTGAATGAATAACCCCCCCGTGTTTTTTAACTGAGTAAAGTGGCTGTCCGTACTCGGTGCTTGCGCCCCCCCAAATATGCAGATGCTGTTCCCCTCAGCGGAGTTTATTCAGACCCCATTAGCGGCTCCTCCACACAATAAACATTTGATCCCGTTGCTGTAAACCCGGTGTTAACGCGGCCAAGCAGCTTACAGCCACATTTACACCACAATACAGCCCGTTTACTTAGAAAAACCTATAGAGAGAGGAGACTCCGCAGCCTTTCTTTTCATTAGCCATAGCCTACCAGTGTTAACCAGCGCTCCCCCGTTTAAACCTTTATAATTACTTCATAGGGTTAAGATAAATTGGCTGTTTATCTTATCCAGCCTGTCAAAGTTATCTGTTTACTCGTTTTTCAGCATATAGATTCATAGACTGAATATATAGATATATAACCTAGACCAGTCTGTTTACTTTATCCATATAAAAGTGCCATATATAAACAGTGTTAGTCTATGATATATAGAATATCAATAGTGCGAATGAAACTGATAGGCTGCTGTACATTAGTCTTAGTATTATCGTCAAACTGTTCTTTTCAGCCGGTGAGAATTTACTGAAATACCACAACGCTGGCTACATAACGGCGCATGCGTGTTGAGAGCTCGAGCTCGCACCCTACCCCACCTCTCCGCGCGCTCTGCGGGGTAAAGGGGGGCATTTACTGCGTGACCTGCCACCCACGATTGGCCTCTTAACGCCAAAAGTTTAGCGCAGTGCTCGGCCTGTCAGCTCCGCTTAGCGCTGGAGCGGAGCAGAGAGCAGACACCAGCTCACACACACTCAGCCCCACATCATCTGCTCTGCTCTCATAGCCGACTTCGAACTTAAAAGGCTTTCCACATCTCCAGAGACAACATCCCCTCACACATTAGTGTTCACTGATATGGTCTTACCTGCCAAAACAAGCTTGATTTATATTTGCAGTTTGAATATGAATCTGCATGAAGTGTGAATTTGTGTCCAGCTGCATAAGGAAGGTTTTTATAAGGATCTCCTGGGCAGTGTTGGGGAAGCTATTTGAAACTAGCTTTGCAAGCTGCCAATTACTTCACCCTGGAAGAAGTTAGGCCTAGGGAGAAATCAAATTGGTTAACTAAATCTAAAGTAGTTTGTGAAAAAATGATCAAATTGACACATGTGAGAGAAATCACAACAAATATAAAATTATAACAAATATTAATATATAATACAAAAAAGTCATATGCCAAAACTGCACAATTGAGTTTATTGCAAAAAAGTGCCCACTTCACAGGTCATACATAGGAAAAAACAAAAACAAAAACAAAAAAAAACAAAAACAAAAAAAACAAAACACTTTTTTTGGGGAAATGCAAGGAATATTTGTAGTTATAGTAGTTAACTAAATGAACTACACAAAAATGGCAAAAAGGTTATTTAACTACCTGAGTCACTGAATGTAGTTGAACTACCAGCAAGCTACAGCAGAGTGCTGCTAAACTGCTAGTTTACTAGAGTAGTTCACTACTTCCCAACACTGAGCATGCAGTGCCCAAACATAGTGTCCTGGGGGCCAAAAAAGCAGTGTTTGTGGTGGGTCAACGACCAAAGACAGAACAAATAATACAAAAATAAATAAGAAATAAAGAAGGTAGGTGCACTCTTAAAAAGATGGTTCTAAATAGCACCAAAAAGGGTCTATTGTAATAAGCTTTACTCTGAAGTGCTACAAAATCAGGCTTGTAACAAGAAAACTTTTTGGTGCTATATATAAATATAGAAATATTTTCTAAAAGACTGAATATAGAACCATATACAGAACCATTCCACCATGCAAAGAAGCATTTAAGCATGAAATGTTCCAAGTAGAACTCGTGGTTCTAAATAGTGTAGGTTTCAAATTGTGGTTATAAACATGTTTTACAACACTAAACCATATCTTGTTACTAAAATTCTTAAAAACAACAATAAAATACAATAAAATACAAAACTACAATTATATGTGCAATTAGAATAATTTTGGCCTACGTATGTTATAGATATTATAAAAATATATTTGTTCTCTCATGAGGGAGTGGGGTTAGGATAATTTTGGGCCAAATCAAATGTTTTAGAATAATATATACTATTTCTCACTTCTGTTTAATACTCCTGTGGTAGTCTGTAATTTTTGTGTTGTGTCTTATAACAAACTATAGTAATTGTCCAAATGTATTATAAGAGTCTTATAGGAATCCTGTAGAAATTCTTACTTTATCACTACAGATATTTTTCATAAGTGTAATGAATCCATTCAGAGCTGCAGTGTGTGTACTTGATCTGGGCCAACTGTGGCCAATATCGACTCTGTTCAGGCACCAGTGCAGTGCTGACTGTGTAATTGTAAATGATAATGGCCAGACTAGGTTAGCCTATCATGATAATATGCCATTTAAGTGTATTTACTCAACAAAGTTCCTATGGTTCCCTTTCCCTGATTAGGCTACTGTTAAAGAGCAATTCCACTGAATTTTCAAAATGTTTGCATAATTCAGTTGAGATGTAAAAAAAATCATTCAGAGTGGTTTGAGATGAAATGGTCTGTTGCAGAGAAAGTGATAGACTCTGATTTCAGTACAGTGGTGACAACAGGAACCGGGGTCACCATGTCTACAACACACATATAGCCATTTTA